TGGTAGCCTCTGGATTCTCTCCTGTTTTATGTAATTTGGTTTTCATTGTTTCTGGAACTTTCTCATTTCTTCATTATCTTGATGCTTTTAATTTTCAACTTGCTGAATTTTGGGGGTGTTTTTTGTTTTTTTTTTTTTTTTTTTTAATTTTTCTTTTTTAGAGCCAGGAACTTGGTAGGCACTTTTAATTATATTATTATTTCTCAGTTTTGGAAAATGTACTTAAGTCCTTCGTTCTTTTTCTCTGTTTTCTTTTCCAGGAACCTCTCTTAGTCTGATGTTGGATCTCCTGAATTTACCCTCTGTTTCCTTTTTTTTCAACTCATTTTCTTGGAGATTTCCTTAACTTTATCTTTTTATTTAACTTTATCTTTTGAATTATCTAAGAGTATATGTGAACATGTGGTTCAGTGGCTTAAATGGCTTGGTTTTCTTTCATGTAAGGTAAGATTGGAGGAAAACTGTTCAGGGCTGGCCCAGTAGCACTATGAAATCATCAGGGGCCTGGCTTTTCTCTGTTAATTGCCCCCAAAGTACATGGCTTCTGTCCTCAAGGTCTTGGCCATTGGGGTTCCAGTCATCATTATCCATGCCTGGAGGCAGCAGGAAGGAGGAAGTCAACTTACTTCCTTTTAAGGACCCTTCCTGGAATTTCCACACAACACGTACTGTTAATTGTATCGTTGTACCTTGCTGCAGACGACTCATGGCAAAGTACTTTTTCAGTTGAGTAAATTGTCATTTATTGGGTAAACTGTCACTGAATAAAATTGGGTTTCTCGTAGTAGAAGAGAAAAAATTGCTGACATGCAGTTCAGTTGATGGCATTTTTCTTTCTTAGTGGTTCAAAAAAACCATGGTGTATCCTACAGTTAATGGTAAATTGAAGTAACAGACTGTTGCATTCTCTGCCACTTCTAATATTTAACTTTGGTTGTAAAATTTTTAATTTTTAAGTGTTTTTCTTGTCTTTTTTCCCCCTCCATCCTGATCATGCTTGATGGATATAATTTTTCTGTCTAGGAATAGAAAGTGTGTTATTTGGAAGTTTTCTTGATACCTTCTTTGTTTTCTTTTCTTTCTTTCTTTTTTTTTTCTGTTCTCCTTTAAGTTGGAATGATTTCTCAAATGTCTGGGCCATATTTTTGGGCCCATTCACTCCTTTATTTAATTGAGGAATAATCGGTATAGCACATTTCATTAGTGTGCAGCCTAATGATTTGGTATTTGTATATATTGCAAAGTGACCGCCACGGTGAGTCTATCAACATCCATTCCAAATATAGCACAAAAACTGTTTTTCTTATGATAAGGACTTTTAAGATCTTCTCTCAGCAACTTTTGAATGTGCAGCACAACACTGTCACTGCTGTGCGTTCTGTGCCCATGATTTACATATTTATATCTGCAATGTTGCCCCTTTTCACCTCTTTCCTGTTTCCCCCAGGGGGGGATGGCAGTCCCCACCTTTGGCGGCCATCAAATTTGTTCCCTGCATCTATGATTTTTTTTTTTTAATGAAAAGGGACTTTAATACAGTGAATATACAATACGGAACACAAAGAATAGAACTTCTA